CGTAATCCTTTAAACTTTCCTCTCTCTCTCTTCCCCACTTTTCTTTTTAAAATAACGCCCTGCTCCCTGCTGATTCATCCGTGTGCCTTTTCCTTCGCCAGAGCCTCTCATCCTCGCAGCCGAGCCACATAAACCTCGTATTCACCCGTTAGGCTTGGCGAACAACGTAGACAGAGTCCACTCACGCAGCTCACACCTGAACATCTCTCTCTTTACTTTTTATATATAACCTTCCAGTGTTCCTTACGGAGTATTTTTTAAACTTGTACTATTCCGAAGCGCACGAACACACAGATCCAAAGAAAATGGCACGTCCCTACAGCAAGAAAGGCGGTTCGTTCCATAACCGCGGCGGCTTTGGCGGACGCGGCGGCGGCGGCGGCGACGGCAACTTCGGTGGGGGTCGGTCCGGCGGCGGTGGTGGTGGTGGCCGCGGTGGTGGTGGTGGTGGTCGCTTTGATAACCGCCGCGGCCCCAACTACCATCATAACCCAAGCAATAACAGTGTTAACAACGGTAACGGCAGCAACAACGCCGGCGGCGGGGCGGATGTGATGAAGGTGCTGCTCTCTCTCCTTTTCGAAAAGTCGTACAGCCAGATTTTTGAGGAGAGCTCTGGCAAGCTGGACCTGTCCAACATGCGCGCCAGCCCTGATCTGGAGACGGTGCAGAAGCGCGTCGACTACAACAGCGTGTCCTTCTGCAAGGTGCTCGCCGAGGTGCTGCGCGAGAAGTTTGCCGACCGCATCCGCGTGCTGCAAATGGATGATAACAGCATTCGCCAGTTCAAGGTCATTCTCTCCGCCCTGGCGGACGCCGACATTCACCGCGGCATCACCGCCATCTCTGCCATGCGCAACAGCATCAACGATCTCAGCTTTATTAGCGGCCTGCGCCGCTACGACAGCTTGAACGAGTTGCTCCTTCGCGACAACTCCGTCGTGAACCAGAAGGAGTACATGCCGCAACTCATCAAGCAGCTGCCTCGGTTGACGTTCATCGACGGCGTGCCGGTGGACCGCGCTCTCCTGCGCCTGCCCAACCCCCTCCCCTCTGCCGCCCCGTCCCAGCAGCAGCTCGACATTTTAATGTACTTAGAACAGACCCTCTTCAGCGCCATGGCGAGCGGCAACTTCGACGCGGCGCTCACGCTCTACGGGCAGCAGTTCTCCGCGCTTTCGGTTAATCGCGGACAGGAGCCGCTGCCGCAGCGGGTACCGATGAACGCGATTGCCAACACCAGCGATCTCGAGAAGCCGATGCGCAACCAGATGCAGGCGGACCTATCCAGGCTGCGCTCGCAGATGGAGTTCCGCAACCTCGCCACCGACAGCGCCGGCTCGATGCGCAACGTGGCGAGGGGACCGCAGGAGATCATCAAGAAGCTGCGCTCCGTCTGCGGCGACGGCAAGCCGATGAACGTCGAGGTGGAGTTCAACCCCAACTTCAACGTCGTGTTCATGGACCAGAGCTACCACATGCGCGTGCCCGTCTGCGTACTGACCGTGCACGGGAAGATGCGCTACCGCTGGAACCCGATTCACGCCGACACGCGGCAGCCAACGTTCCCCGCTGGCAAGGCGCCGTGCATCTCCACCTTCTTTGACCGCACCATGTCGCTCATGTGGGACGGCAACACGAACTCGTGGGCAATTGCAAATGATATGCTGCTGCTGCGCCCCGACCGCACCGTCGTTCACGACGACGGCACGCCGAGCTGTCCGCTGTTCTTTGCGAACACGCCGTCGCGAATAGAGCAGATGCGCCGCCGCCTGATGCCTGGCATTACGCCGGAGGTGATGGCAGCCATAGTCAACGCCACCGGTTCCGACGAGGACGTGAAGCAGGCGATACAGCGGCTTCTGCAGCTGCCCCCTGAGACGCTGCAGGAGGTTGCCGCCAACCCTGAGGCGGCAAAGCGGGCCATTGGCATGTAAAAGAAAGAAAAAGGGAACATCCGCCGCGGCTCTACTCGTTTCTCCGGTAGAGTGGTTTTTGTCTTCTCTCTTTATAAAAACATTTCTCTTACATGAAAGTCGATTTGCTGAATCGGGGCCGTTAAGACGAGTCGATGAAAATGCGCTGCGGAGCGTATCCTCGTTGTCGATATATATATATATATGTTTTTTAACTACTTGTATTGTGGGGTGCTTTCGTTCACGTTGATTCCTTTGCTGGTGGTGGTCTTTTGTTTTTGATTTGTCTTCTCGTGTTTTCTTTGAATCAAAGAATGTATTGCGGTGGCGAAGTTCCCCAGGTTCCTCGTGTTGTTCTTTACGGATGTAGAGAGGAAGCGGCGGTGTCTTTAGAATAAAAAGAAAACAGGATACCTTTGTGTTTCTTATTCCTCTTGTTTTTTCACTACAGTCTGTTGAGATACATCTTCATATGCGGATAAATTGTCTCGTTTAATTCCTCTACCTTAAACTAGCAAAGACAAAAAGAAAGGCCGACGCACCGGGCGTTGCAGGCATCAAACGCAGGTTCGGTGTTGCATATCCATGTGATCAGACGTTGGTAAAGCAACAACAACAAAAGGGAAAAAAAACATCACGACCACTTTGACGGCTGTTGTTTCCATGTTTTTCCTTGTTGTTATGATGTGCTCTCCTATTTTGTAGCACATGCAAGGAACCCCTACAAGGGATGCTTCCTCGTTGAGCCGCTGTTTGTGTTGAAGCGCTGCGCATCAAAGGATCTTTAATCGCAGTGTTTGTTGGGTGTGTGTGTGTGTGGGTGTGTCGTGCATTAAAAAAATAGTTCGTTGTGCTTGAATGATTGTATGGCGCACGTATTCTTCTGCGTTGTTGTTGTTTTTTCTCTTCATGATGCTCCCGGTGAATTCGCAACGCCTACTTCAGCCCCCTTGCGTCTTGTCGTGTGTTGCCCAGCCGCAACGACAGTCTGCCCGACAAACAAGGGCAGCAGCTTTTGACGACCATCACCGCAGACTCTTGGAAGAGATGTGTGTGTGTGTGTGTGTCGTGCAGTTTCTAACCTCGGAATGACAGTAGCTGCTTGGAGGCGTAAGAAGACTCAAACGAGGGCGAGCTGCAACGTATATATATATATATTTTTCTCCTTTCCACGTGTGCCGTTTACGGTTTTCGTAGAGGACATGCACTGGAAGTTTTTTGCGTGGTTTTTACCTTATCCGTCGTATCAGCAGTACACATACACATATGCTATTCGGTCGCACAGCCAACTACTACCTGCAGCACATACATGCAGGTCATTATTGTCTGTGCTCCCTCTCTCTTTACGCATTGTTTTGTCTACCATGAACACTTCGAAGTATTCTCTGTAAGTTTGTGGACAGCATCGCGCCACACGAGCCAACACCTTCAGTCGCAATAGTGAAAAGAATGTGTTGTACGAGAGCTAATCGTCTCATTTTTTTTCTAATGATTATTGTTCTTTCTTTTTCCTCCATAGCGAACTTGCAGCTCGCCGTTTTTAAATTCCGTTTGATTGTTTCTCCTACACCTCCTCACAGCCTACTGCCATGCGGGGAGTCGGCAACGTGGACAAGACGCACCGCCGGCTGGTGCGTGAGTTGCTTCCACCCCACACGCTCGAATAAACCCTCAGGACACCACAACGAGGTGATGCAATGCAAGTGCTTTCTCTTTAGGTCGGTTCACTGTGTCCGATAAGCTACAACAACGGTTGCGAAGCGAGCGACGCTTATCCGGAGTAGCCTCACATGAATTACCGGTCTTTCGCGCATACAAGACTGTCCATCTACCGTCAACCATCACGTATACGGTTCAGCCAACCACACATAATACTATCCTTCAACAATATTTTTTTTCTTTACTTGCTGCACACGCACACACCCAACGATGCCAGATCTGCTGATGCACGCACTCGCAAACGCATAAACACATGCACGCATGCGTAGACACATGAGAAAAAGTTGGTGCTCATTCTTGACTGTCTCTGTGCATGTTCACTGTAGCCTCTTTCTTTTCTCTCTTACCTCATCTCCACCCTTTTCATTCTTTACTTTTGCAGCTGATGACAATTCTTAGCTCTTCCTTTTTTTTTTAAAGGTACGAATCGAGGAAGCGCTACACTGCACGTTCGCTGCATCGGTTGTCAACTCCTCTCACCTTCCGTTTCACTTCCTATTTCTTTTGTTTTGTGCAGTCTCATTCTTTTTATATTAGTATTACTATTTTTTTCCTTTACAATTAAAGGACCTCATTTAGCCCACTACTCCTCACCGTGGCCGATTACACCACAGCCGCCTCAACAGGGTGACGCTTTTTTCGGTACAAGCAACCTTTTACTGTCTTCGGGCGTTTTTGCTTTTCCCCGCGGTTTCGGCAATGTGCGACACACACAAGAAAACTGACGCCAAGCCAGTGCACCACAAAAGTCGTTGCCGTCCTCGGTCAGCGACCTGGCCAATGAAACTAGATGTGTTGTGCATGTGTTTGCGTTTTTTTTTCTTTTCTTTTCTTTCCTTCTATTCGTGTTCCCTTCTTTCGATTTACCACACCTTCAATTGTTTAGTTTCTGCGTCTCTAGTGACGCTGTTGACCATCTCTTTCATTCGGCTCTTCTGTGTAGTGCAGCGGTGGCGACTGTGTGTCTGCGTGGGGCGGGGCCGACTTCTCGCTTCATCACCTTCACTGGGCAATAGAAGACCCAATCCCTCCAAAAAGGAGTGCTGTATGATCTGTATATATCGTACTGTTATGATTGAACCAAAAAAAAAGAATGAAATGCTAATAAAAGAAATAGTACATGAACGGTTGTGTTGACCTCCGTTTATTTTTCTTTCTCGGGACGCTATGGGGTACCGTGGATTTGGGGGTATTCGTTGGTTGTGCATCTCACCTGCTTTTCCGTGTCCTCTCTTTCTTTTCCAGTAGACTCACGTGTCAGCCTTTTTCTCTTCTTAATGTTTTGAACTTTTCCTGTCTTCCATCTGTGTCAGGGAAATCGACGGCAAAAGGTGCGGTTGGCTTCGGCAACTGAAAAAGGGGGTGAAAACGAAAGTGCCTTCGAGCATGGCGTTTGACGGGCTGACAAATTCGTTGGGAAACCGCACACAGAGGACAGAAGTGGCCGTTTTCTCGGCGTTTTCTTCGTCTTCCGTTTCTCTCTTTTCATTTAAAGGGAGGCGGGACGTCGCCTTCTTTAGCGTTGCTTCTTCTCCTTTTGTACTTGATGACATGAAGCGAGTGGGTAAGACTTTTCATGTGGTGAAGTTCAATTGTGGAGAGGTAGTACTTGACACGGAAATTGGCGAAACATCTTTATTACTTCCTCTTTTTTTTTTAGAGAGATAGATTCGTGCTTCATACAGCTGTGAGCATGTTGTGTGTGCTCCGCTGCGTGCGGGCGCGTGTTGTCTCATTTCTTTATAGGCTGATATGGCGGGCTATTGTGGAGAGAGAGAGAGGAGTGACGGGACACTGGTACGACGCTCATTCGTATTCTGCTTAAGACACTCTTGTTTATCACGAAACAAAGCGGTGGAGAAGCGTGTCAGCAAAAAAAAAAACTAAGAACAGCGCTGTCGTGCGAGTCAATTGAGAGCTGAGGGGAGAGTTCTCATCAGCTCTGTTGCTCTCTGCTGTTTGCTCAGCTCTCTTCAGAAAAAGGAGGAGAAGAAAAATAATCATTTCTTAACACTGCTCAACTCTCTTTCTGTGGGTGTATTTTCACTTTCTTGTTCGAGATATTCTCCCAAACCCACCGCAACCTCAATAGTAACAACTATGCCTACGCATCAACTGGTTTTCCGTGTGTCATTGTTTGTGTGTGTGTGTTCGTGGCTGTGCTTGTGTCTCGCCAAACTGTGCCCGAATACGAACGCAAGTCAACTGTATTTGGTTTGGCTCACATTGAGTCTCCTCCCCCTTCCCCTTTCCCCCTATTTTTTATTACTTTATCAACTTTATTAATTTCAACGAGTATGTGAATGAGTAGATAAACTTCGAAGACAAACTTGAAGGGAACTCCAAAGAGAAGTGGGCGGAGAGATTTCCACGCAACGGAAGAAAGAGTTTTTTCCCAATGTGCAGTTGATCCGTGTGTGTGTGTGTGTGTGTATTTTGGGTGGAAAGACGATAGATGCCGTTGAAGAGGTCGATAATGTGAGACTGCTACGGCAGGCGTTTGCGTCCGCTGGGCGTTGCCATGCTTTTAAGTCTCGCTTCAACGCAGAAGCACTTCTCAAAAAAGCGGCAAAACCCACATATATGTGCTCAGGTGATGGATGTAATGCTCCATCTCCTTCTTTTCTCCCTCCTTACATCCATCCACTTCACCTTCGCTCCTCTTTTTCTCTGCGTACGTTTTCAAAGGTCAAGGAAGCAACATAATAGTAACGAAAACAGCCCGACTTTCAAGAAGTTAAGAGGGATAAAAACGGATGTCGAAGCCGTACAAGAAGAGCAAGGGCGGCGACAGAGGCGGTGCGGCGGTTACGAAGCACAGCACCCCATGCAAGTTCTTCCTGCGCGGCAGCTGCTCCAATCAGCGCTGTCCTTATTTGCACGTGCGCAATCAAACGACCCTCCGCGCCGCACAGCACAAGGAGATGGCGGCGGAACAAAGCAGCGGTACGGTGAAAGTCCTCTCCACCATGCTGAAGCTTTTCTTTGAAAAGCAGACGCAGAACATTTACGACGCCAACGCGGCGATGCTGAACTTGTCGAAGTTGGCCTCGTTTGCGGACCTCTCCTCGGTCGCCTCGAGCATCAACTTCAACACGCGTACTTTCTGCGTCGCGCTGTGTACGTGCATCAGCGAGCTACTCACCCCACCTCCTGCCATTCTGCAGTTAGACGAGAACGGCATCAGCAGTTTCCACCACTTTTCCAAGGCTCTCGAGGAGGCCGGCCTGCACACCTCCCTCCGTGCCTTGTCGCTCGCCCACAACGAAATCGCCTCCTCTGACGTCGCACAGGAGTTGAGGCAATTTGCGAACCTCACCGAGGTGAACCTGATCGGCAACCCGTGCACAGCGGCGGACGACTACAAAGCCAAGTTTAAAAAGTACGTCCCGTGGCTGCTCGGACTCGACGGCGACGGTCTCACCGCCCCACCGTTGGAGATGCCGTGGCCGCGCTTCTTCGACCCGGCACAGACCGCTGTGGACCTCGCTGCCCCAAGCAGCTCCCCTGTGCGGCGGTACGACAGCACACAACAAGCAGTCTTGCAGTTTATTCAAACTGCCGTGCTGAACCCATTAGAGATGGAGCCGACGTTAGGTGTGCTGACCGGCGTGGATGCCGTGTCCGACGCCTACGCCTTAAACGCATCCTTCTCTTTCAGCGTCGTCGCGAACGATGCCGCGGTGTCGACGCCGCGCCGAACCGCCGGCGGGGGGGCCGCATCCGCCCAGCGCGACGTCGTGCGTGAGATCGTCGGGCTGCGCATGCGGCAGACGGAGAGCAACCACAACCTGCTGTTCGGGCTCAAAGCGACAACGGTCGCCATGGGCCGCACCAGCGTCTGCGCCAAGCTCGAGCACGTCCTCTACCCTAAAACGTTTGCGGTACGTCACTTCATTCACGACAGCGTGGATGTGGCGATCTTAGACAACAAAGGCTTCGGTCCCAACGCGGTGGTCGGCATGAAGCAGCCCCTTTCCGTTGTGACACTGCACGGTGTAATGATCTGGCGCTACCGCACGGCCACCACCGCCGCCGCGGACACGCCGCACAGCACCGCAACCCAACTGCGCGACGCGATTGTGGTGAAGCGCAACTTCTCGCGTGTCTTCACCATTTCCTCGGTCGAGCCCGGGCGGTGGCGAGTGGTAAACGACATGGTCACTCTCTTTCCCTTCCGTGGTGAGGCGGGGGCCGCAGACTCGACGGACTCGAACAGCAACAGCCTCGGTGGCCGTGCGAGCGCAGAGCCGCCGACGACAGCGGAGAGCGTGCTTTTCCGCGACGTGCACCCCTACGATGTTGTCTTTATGCCGGCAGCCGATCCCGCGCGGGCTGCACGCTTGGGACGCACCTACCGCGTGCCAACACCCATCGTTGAAATGATATCGGCGTTTGTCAACTCCGACAGCGAGCTAGTCGCCTTCTTGTTGGACCTCAGCGATGTGCCGCTGGAGACTTACGAGCACTGCGCGGTGCTGGTGGAGATGGATCCGCTGCGGAGCATCTTTCTGTGCCGCATCGGCAACCGTCTGAGGATTGAGCCCGCCGAAGGCGTGGTGCTGCTGCACCAATGTGGCCCTAACTGGCCGGCGATTCTACAGGCGGTAGGACGATGACCTCTCTGTGTGTGTGAGTGTGTGCGTCTCACTTGACACACTGGGACACATACCAGCACGCAAACACGGGCAAAGAAACCTTTGCGATGCGGGCCGTCGACTTGCCTTCCGCCTCACCGTTGTTTTCCTCCTTCTTTTTCTTCTTGTTTTCTCTCGATTAATTAAGTTATAACGTGCCGGGGGCGAAAACGCGCCCATTCGAATAAGAATCGGAGCACTCCAACTTCGTATTGGCTCTTGCCAACTCTCTCTCTCTCTCTCTCTGAGTTACCGAGAGCGAGAGTGAGAAATGACAGCGTTGGCTTTTTGAGTGTTTCTTTGGTCCTCTTCTCAGTTGCCCTCTGTAAGCGGGCACGAAACGCTCTTGAACTCGATGCTTTTCTTGTAACTCTTCGCGGAACGTGTGGATGTTCTAATCTGGTGTGAGTGCACGTACTTCACGGATGGCCCGCGAAGCACGGGTAGACGACGCCAATAATGATCGTAGCTAAACGAATGAGCTTTAAGAAGAAGAACGCAAGTTGCGGCGGAGCGACGTTGCCTCATTTCTCTCCTCTTTCTTCCTCTTCGATTTCTTGTTGGGCCACTGCTTGTGTTTGTGTGTGTACGTACGTGCGTGTGTGTGTGGGGGTATGTGACGTTCTCTACCAGAACAGACGCACCGGTGCTGTCGGGTTTCACTAAGCATTTTGAGGAGACCGACTAATTGCCACCTGTGCTTGCGGAGCTACCCTCCCCCTCCCCGCTTTCTTTTTAACGCGGGGAAATGCATACTTCTGGAAACGAAGGTGCGCGGATGAGCTCGCCAGCAAACACCTCCCTCCCCACAGACCTTCAGGACTCCCTCTTCTTCGACCCTCCTGCCATCGACAACTCCTTCGTCAGCACACCGCTGCAGGGGTCGTTGACACGCTCTTACCTCTCCGTCGATCTCGAAGAGACGAGCGGCGCGGAGACATCCCCGCAAACGACAGCCGCGGCGTCATGCACCGACATCGCATTGCGCCGCGGACAGGCGTATCGACGCACCGATGTAGGCGGCCGTGGTGGTACGACACCGCGTGTGCGCAGCCTCGAGGGCGTCGCGATGAACATGCAAACATATGTGGGACGTAGCAGACCCGCGACAAGTGCTGCCACCCCCGCATCGGCGGCTTCAACGCCTGCGTTGACGCGGGCGGTCCTCGCGGAGCACGTGGAGGCGTCGAGCTGGTCGCACCCCCTCACGCCACCCGACTCGCGTGACACTCTCCCGCTCTTGCCAATGAGGGACTTCGCTACAGCTGCGACGGCGTCGGCGGCGGCATCCGACACACCACCGGCGGACGCAAAGGCGACCACCCCAACCGCGCTGCGCCCGAGCGAGGACGCGGAGGGCAGCGTGCACGTCGCAACGCGCTCCTCGCGGATGGAGGAGCCGCTGGAGTCGTTATTTCTGAGCAGACAGCTCACGGGCAGCGCGGCTGACAGCGGGTTTGAGCTTTCAATGGAGTCGGTGACGCTGCAGATCTCAGAGCGCCACTTCTTTCGCGCGCATCCCATCACGTACTTGGACGACTGCAGCCTGCACATTGCACCCGGCTCGATGCACTGCATCGCCTCTCTCAATCCGGCTCACGCGCGAGCCGCACTGGCGGTGCTGGCCGGTGTGGACACCGTCGCGAGCGCTAGAGGGGCGACACTCGCTAACGCGCTGCCGGCGTCGTCGCTGCGGTACCGGCGCCAGGTGGCCTACGTCGCATCTCTTGACTGCTGCACCGCGGAGGCCACCGTGTACGACAATTTGGCCTTCGCGACCCGCATCCGGTACGTGGTCGACGCACCAACGCTGCGGGAGGTGGTGGAGCAGGCGGCCTCCGAGGCTTTTCTGATGGATCAGCTGCTCACCCGCGCATCGGACTTGGGCCCCGCGCAGCGCTATTTGCTGGCGACGGCGATGGAGCTCGTGGCGGACCCTACGGTGCTCCTCCTGCAAGACCCGCTCGCTTTCTTTTCGCTGGCTGAGCTGCAGCTGTTCACGCAGCTACTGCGCAGCGTGCGCCGCCGCAACCCCGCCCGCACCGTTGTCTGGTCCGGCTCCGCGATTCCGTGGACGCTGTTTGACAGCATCGACAGCCTCACGCTGCTCACCACCGGCGGCAAAACCTTCTACAGCGGAAATAAAGAGGGCGTTGAGTCGTTTCTCCAGGAAGACTTGGGTATTCTCCGCGTACCCGGCGAGGATGTGATGGACATCATGGCGCAAACGGAGGTGGACGTCGTCGCCGTTACCGACTCCACCGTCGCCTTCCGCAACAGCAAGTTTTACCGCGCTGTGCAGCACGAAATCGAGGCACACCGCACCCGCGTCAGCGCCAATGCCTTTTCGCAACCACCAGAGCCTCCTCACCCTTCTCCGTCGTACGCCAGCGTGCAGTCCTCGCTGTTGCTGTATACGCTGCGGCGCAGTGTGCTGGACAAAGCGGCGCTGGTGCCGTGGGTCGGCTTGTTTGTGGTGATGGTGCTGGTGTGCATGTTGGTGGCCGCCACGGATGGCAAGCAGGAGAGAAGTCTTCAAAACACGTGCGGGGTTCTCTTCCTGCTTCTGTCGTGCTCCGTGCAAATCAACTCCATCTTCCTCAAGTCGGAGCTGCGGGATTGGCGGACCTTTCTGAGCTTTCGAAACAATCTGTGCTTCCCGGTACTGCCCTACTACGTCGCGACCGTCGTGCGGCTTCTTGTGCCGCGGTTGTGCTTTGCAGTGGCGAGCAGCATATGCGGTGCAGTCATCTTTGCTGAAGCAACGGCGGCCTCGTTGAGTGCGATGATGTCACTTCTCAGCTTCGCCCACGCCTGCCTGGGCTTGATCGCGGTGTATTGGGTCCCCAGGGTGGAGATGCTCATGGCGGCGAATCACCTCTACTACGCCTATTGTGTGATTTGCTGCGGATTTCTGCTGAGCGTCACGCAGATCCCCGTCTTTTTCCAGGTGTTGTCGCTACTGCGCATTGCCTACGGTGGGTTGTTGGCGAAGGAGATTGGTGCGCTGACGTGGTGCGACACCGCCTCTGGCGACGACCTCTCTGGCTCTGCTGCTTCTGACAGCTCTTCTAGTTGTCTCACTGGCCAAAAATATCTGACGTTGATGGGACTGCAGCAGGACAGCCTGGGGCAGTCCGTTTTGGGACTTTCTCTCCTGTCGCTTGTCATGATGGCGGCGCTGGCTATCAGCATGCACTTGTCACCTAGCGCAAAGCTATTTTCTTCGTCGTCGTAGAGCGCTAGGCAAGTGAAGCGACGGTCGTCTTTCTTTTTTTTTTGGTAGGCCGGTACATCACACACCCGTTCCACCAACGACTTATCGAGTACCGTCCGACCTTGCCGTCTTCTCAACTCTGCTGATGGTGAAATACCTCTTTTGGGGGAATTGCAACGTTCTTGCTTGAATACTCAGTGGAACGCCAGCCGTGGATCTTCTCCCTTCTATCATTTTCTTTCAACTCATACTATCTAGTTTCACTTGCCTTGCCTCGCCGCGTCAGATGCTCTGTTTCCTTTGTTTTCATTGGTCCTTTCTTCGAGAAGTTCTTCTTTTATTTCTGGCTAATCCACCGCACGTTGATGATACTTGATGCCGTATCGACGTCGCCTTTACCGTTCGTTGATGAAACTCCAATATAT